ACTATGTTTATATCACTAATAAAATAATTATTATTCATCATACTTATTTTTCATTTATATGATTAATATATAATATTATAGATGTGCCCAAAATTATTTCGTATTTTTTGTATTATTCTATTTGAAAAATTTTATATTTAATTATACATCATGAGTTAACCCATTTGATCTGAAAGGTTGAACCACTAATCCACCCCCTAGATAGGAAAATTGTTTCATTTCCCATCAGTTTTAAGTTCTATATTCCATGTCTATCATTAATAAAATTATGTCTATTTTATCATACTTATTTTTTTTAATATGATAAATATATAATAATAAAAATGTGTCCAAATTTTTCAAAATTTCTTTATTTTCTATATTTTTATATTTTTATTATTTATTTATGACATCATAGAATTATCCATTTGACCCAAATGGTTGAACTAGTTACTCACCACCTAGATGGAAAAATGTGATTTCAATTATAGGTTTATTTTAAAAATATAAAATTTCATTATATTAATAACTATTATGTATTGATTTATTAGTAGAATTTAATGATGAGAAACAAAAGTATAAATGTTGGATTGAATGAGAGAGAGAGAGAGGATATGTTTTATTTAATGACTTAAATGTGAGACTTGATGAGAGGTAATAATTGAATGCACTTAATAGTATTGTTTTAATTGCATTTTCTACTTAAATCTTGTATTCCATTTTCATCATTAATAAAAGTAATTCTTATTTTTACATTTAATATTATGAATATATAACATTAGAACTGTATCAAAATGCTTTATACAAAGCTTATATTTTTCTTTGAGATTCTATATATTTTTTAATATTTATTACTTAGTTATGACATCATTGATTGACCCATTTTACTTGGAAGATTAGATCGTTGACCTACCATCTAGATATGAAAATGGTTTCATTTTCAGGTTGGTTTTAAAATTTTCATTAATTTATATCACTAATAAAATAATTATTATTCATCATACTTATTTTTTGTTTATATGATTAAGATATAATATTATAGATGTAGGGATGAGCATTCGACTTGGCTTTTAGAACCGAATAAATTGAAAAATTTTAGAACCAAATTAAAAAATAAAAACCAAATAATAGAAATTTTTTTTTTCGATTTGGCTTTTAGTTATTTTGATTAAAACCAAATTTTAATAATGTATATACTATATATACATTATAACATATAATATATAATATATATTATGAAAGAAAATTTCATTATATTATACATTAAAATATAAATAATATTATATATTATATATTACATATGATATACAAAATTTTAGTTTATTTGGTCAATTGAATTTCTAATTCTAAAAACCGAATTAACCAAAACCCTAAAAAAATAAACCAAAATTTTCAATTCGATTTTAACTGAATTATGCTCACCCCTATAATAGATGTGCCCAAAATTGTTTTTTACTTTTTTTTATTATTCTATTTTAAAAACTTTATTTTTAATTATACATCATGAGTTAACCCATTTGACCTGAAAGGTTGAACCACTAACCCACCCCCTAAATAGGAAAATTGTTTGATTTCCCATTGGTTTTTAAGTTGTATATTCAATGTCAATCATTAATAAAATTGTGTCTATCCTATCATACTTATTTTTTTTAATATGAAAAATATATAATAGTATAATTGTGTCCAATTTTTTCAAAATTTCTTTATTTTCCATATTTTTGTATTTCTAAATTTTTATTATTCATTTATGAAATCATGGAATTATCCATTTGACCCAAATGGTTGAACTACTTACCCACCACCTAGGTGGAAAAATATGATTCCATTTCTACGTTTATTTTAAAAATATCAAATTTCATTGTATTAATAATTATTGTGTATAGATTTATTAGTGATTAGTGAGAAACAAAAGTATTAATGTTGGATTCAATGAGAGAGGATGCAATTTATTTAATGACTTAAATGCGAGACTTAATGAGAGGTAATTGAATGTATTTACTAGTATTATTTTAATTACATTTTCTGCCCTTACAATGGAGGTGAACCAAATTTAGGAGAAGGGGTATTTTAGTAAAAAAAAATCTAGAAGCCAATACTTTATTCACACTTTTATAGGTAACTATTAATTAAGCACATGCATTGCATGTGAGAAAATTTTCTTCATGTTAATTACTTGAATTTTAGATATATCATAGTTAAGATAAAAATTGAAAATTAACAAAAATAATAAGATGATTAAAAATAAATTTGAATGCTTGTAGTAAATATGCATGTGCATTGCACATAAAAATTTTAAATTCTAATAACAATTATTGTTATTATAATAATAATAATGATAATAATAATAATAATAATAATAATAATAATAATAATAATAATAATAATAATAATAATTATTATTATTATTATTATTATTATTCAATTTCAGTCATAAGTAAATATAATTTTTATTTAAAAATTTTTTATTTAATATGATGAATATATAACATTAGAAATGTTTCCAAATGTTTTTCATCAAAATTCTGTACTTTTCATTTTTTGTGTTTTATTTTTTAAATACTTATTATTCAATTATGACATTATGATTCAATTATGACATTCTCTAAAAAGTTAGATCATTTATTGACCATCTAGATAAGAAAATAGCTTTGTTTCAATTTAGTTTTAAATTATATATTTCATCTACATTATATAAATAATTTTTAATTATCACAATTAATTTTTGTTTGATATAATTAATATATAAATTTTTATATATATTCTATTTATTACTTGTACTTTTTTTTATATTTTAAAGATTTATTATTTAACAATAATATCATCAATTAATCCATTTGACCCAAACCACTAACCCACCATTCAAAAAGAAAAATAGTTTGATTTCTTGGTCTTACATTTTCATGATTGATAAAATTATTTCTTATCTATAATACTCATTTTGTTTAATATAGTGGATGTATAATATTAGAGATGTACCCAATATTTTATCTTTTATAAATATATAACATTAGGTATTTGCACAATTTTTTTTTCTATTTTTTGTGTGTTTTTTTTGTATTTTTTATTTTTTAAATTTATATTATTTGACTATGATAGCATTTCATTTCTAGGTTGATTTTAAGCTTGACATTTCGTACTTATTTTTGTTTTCTATAGTAAATATTTCATACTTATTTACATTTCATCATTTAAATTTCATACTTATTTATTAACCCATTTAACCCCAAATTGTTGAATTGCTTATTCCACTGTCAAGAGGGAAGAAAATGGTTTTGTTTTCAAATTACTTTTCAAAACATTTATTTTTATAATATTAATATTCATGTTGTCGATTTAATTAGTAGAATTTAATGATGAGAAAAATATATCTTAAATATATGAGTTAATGAGAGAATATACCTTAAATATGAGATTTAATGAGAGAGAGAATAGGAAAATAATTTTATTTCGAATTGGTTTTAAGTTTTATATTCAATTTCCATCATTAATAAAAACATCTCTTATTTTCGTACTTGTTATTGTTTAATATGCCGAATATATAATGTTAAAAATGTTCTTACGTTTTTAAATTTCTCTATATATATATATATATTTACATTTTATCTATTTTTGAATTTTATTATTTAATTGTGGCAACATGGATTAGCGCATTTGATCCAAAATGGTTTAATTTCTTACCACCACTTAGATGAAAACACTTTTTTTCATGTAGATTTTAAAAGTATAAGTTTTTATGGTATTAGAATTATTAATTTATTATATATAGATTTAATTAATAGAATTTAATGATGATAAGAAACAAAAATGCCTTAAATATGTGATTTAATGAAGGTGAGTACAAGTTAATATCTTAAATATTGAATTTAATGAGAGAAAATTGAATGCATTTAATAGATTAAATTTACCTATTTTTGTCTTTATCTTTTATCAATAAATTTAAATATAAAAAAATAACTTTTATTAAAAAATTTTAGAAATACTTTTGAGGCTATTGGTGCTTTTTAAAATAAAATAATATAGATATAGATTTATTTGTAACTCATTCCGATTGGGCAWAACGATAACATACATTTTTGTTAGAAGCTGTGGCGTTTTCGCCCTTGAGTGGTTCCATGTACACGCCTTTGTTCCTATCTCATTGGGACTTGTTGAGAAAAAAAATGCAGGTTTTTTATCTGACAATAAATATATCAATGCTGGTTTGCTCATGGCTTATGCCCCACTTCTGATCAGACTCGGCCCTCGGGTGCTCTGTTTATGTATTTCCCTTCTTTATCCTTTCACTCTTGGAGAGACACCTGTCCCACTACAGGAGATTCAATATGATCGTTGCTCTGTGTTTTCATTTTTTAACCGTCGAAGTCCTCATCAATGTACAACCAAATTGAGGAAGATTCCTTCTCTTCTTTCTTCTCATTTTTTTTTTCTGTTTGGTTTTTTACAGTATCATGTACAAATTGGGGATTTTGTTCATCTTGAAGATAGTGGCACTGTGGCAAGCTACTGGGGTCTACATAGATGAGCTCTCTGTTTATCTGTCTACTGATTTTGGGCACATTCCAATTTTTTATCCTAATTTTTTCGGTAATCTCAACTCATCCTTACTGGAGAAGCAAAATGATGCACCAATAGGCAATAGAAGCCAGAGAAGCAAAAGGATGCACCAATGGAACGCTTCTCTTTTCTTGATGGACTGTTTATTAAAATTTGGAGTGTGGTCAGATCAAGGTGGCAGACGTGATATTTTCTGAAGAAAATACAATCATCTCGATCAACACATGAGCAAAGAAAAGATAAAGGTTGCCGTGAAAAAATCGAATTCTGGTACGATAATGAACAGGTAATCTGACGTAATTGCACCCAGAAAGTGCTTGTCTTCTACTATCTTATACAAAACGCAATAATGGAGCATTGCTTATCAGTCTGTCATGCTTGCTTTTCTCGTTTCATAATTTGTCCATGTGGCACCTTACACTAATTCATTGATTGGTGAATCCTTATCTTCTGTTCCCTTTTATTTTATTTTTCTTCCCCCCCAGTGAGTGTTTTCACTCACCTTTTTGCATTCTCTCTACTCTGAGAAGCACACAGAGAGAGGGAGAGAGAGAGAGAGAGAGATTTGGGCCATGGCGATACGAAGGGTGTTATCACTCTCTCGGTCCTTAGCTGCTTCTTCTGCTTCTGCAGCTTCGTTACTCTCTCCGGGTAACGATGATTTCTGTTGGGGTGTTTTGATTTCTGAAGTGCGTTTTGATTTTCTTTCTATCTGAACAAGTTTGTTTTCTAATTAGGAGGCCTTATGCGGTACGGACACGTTTCAAGGTGCCTTGGTATCGTCAAAATAAGATCTGGCAGGTTGCACATCGTGCTGCAATGTTGCACCCCTGGCAGCCTAACATGGGGTTGAAGTTCAATATTACAGCACGGTTTGCAACTTTGTACAGCTCTACAATGTTTCACGGTGCCAAGGTACCGTAAAAACCCATTTCACTTCCATAGAAATGCAGAACTTGCGTTTCTTTAGTTTTCTGTATAGACTTCGAAGAGAGATTTTCCTTAGAGGAATGTTTGGTCTTAAGTGATCTGTGATCAATAACTCGTTTTTCGTTGAGGAAGGTAAAAGGGTCAGGATGTAATAAAATTTTCAGTTTTTTTTTTTTTTTTTTGTTGGTTTCGCCGTTAATTGCTGGGAATGTTTTTGATGGTTGTTGTGTTTGTTTTTTTTGTTTGATGTGTTTGGATATGGGGATTTCTAATTTTTAGATTGTTTTAATACTATTTCTAGTTTAATTTATAAATCTCGTTTTAACCCAGTTTAAACCCTTGGTACAATGCATTGATTCACTCAGAATAATGAAGAGCAGAAATCTCGATATATTTAAACAGGTTGACATTAACACAGGCTACATTTAGTGAATTTTTTGGTTTGTTAGCATCATGACTGAGGAAAAGCTAGATCTTTGATATTTTCAGTTTTCCTCTCTGTTTTGTACAAGTTTCAATTTCATAAAAAAAAAGTAGGTACGCTGAAGGAAGAGCTAAATCTCTCTTTTCAGACCTTAGATTCCTCCTTTTGGGTTCTTTTTGATTCTATACAATATTAAGTTGAAATAGAAAACAATAGAGCTCCTGCACTCAAGTGCTATTTATTTTTTATTTCTATATGGTTGAAACTCTGCTTGTGCTTGTGAATTTTGTGTGTTGGTTATTTCAACTGCCTGAATTCTTCTCATTTACAGTTTTGTGATAATCAGTTTATTTACTTTCGTTTGTTATATTGTGTCAAAAGATTCAATTACTGAATACTAAATCAATAATGAAATATACTTTTTTTTTCAGGCAGAAATCCAAGCTGGGGCAGAGACATCTCTCGGTTTAGCACTGCTGCTTTGACTGAAGAAGAAGTAATCATTCCTCCTGTTCAAGTAGAACATACCCAGCTGTTAATCAATGGGCAATTTGTGGATGCAGCATCTGGTGGGCTTATCTATGCTTTTATCTAATAAGAAAAATACATAGTTTTTCATTCGTTGCTGTAGATACCTCACAACATCTTATATTGTTACTTCAATGCTCCTTTTGTCAACTAATCATCTATGCAGAATTGATGGTGTTTTCCTCTGGATTTAGGGAGAACATTTCCAACCTTCGATCCAAGATCAGGAGACCTGATTACTCATGTTGCTGAAGGTGATGAGGAAGATATAAACCGTGCTGTCTTTGCTGCTCGAGAGGCATTTGATGATGGACCATGGCCAAGGATGACCGCATATGTATTCTTACCTAACCATTATGACTATTATTTCTTAAAGTCAATATAGTTTACTAGAGGATTCTTACATTGTACTAAAATTATGTATCTACTCTCTCTTGTTGGCTTTTCTCAGGAAAGATCAAAGATAATATACCGCTTTGCTGACTTACTTGAAAAGCACAATGATGAAATAGCAGCACTTGAGACCTGGGATAGTGGAAAGCCTTATGAGCACACTGCAAATGTTGAAATACCAAAGATGACACGTCTCTTTCGATACTTTGCTGGTAGGAAAAATTGAAACAGTTTGTTAATATTTTTATACTTGCTATTGCTACATGTATTTTATATCTTAGTGAGCCCCTTTATGATCTACAAATTTTTGTTGAAGATTTTAATACTTTTATTTGCAAAATTTCCAGGTTGGGCAGACAAGATTCATGGTCTCACAGTCCCAGCTGATGGACCATACCATGTTCAAACCCTGCATGAACCAATTGGTGTTGCTGGGCAGATTATTCCATGGAACTTTCCTCTTATGATGTATGCTTGGAAAGTTGGGCCAGCACTAGCATGCGGTAACACTGTTGTGTTGAAGACTGCAGAGCATACACCATTATCTGCTCTCTATGTATCAAAGTTATTCCATGAGGTATGTGTATGAAGTGTTATGTTTCTCATATTCTCTTCCCCATGACTCTTTGTTGGAGAATTTGATCAAGTTGCATGTAACAATTAAATGCAAAGTGTACCACTTAAGATACTGCCTTTGAAACAGTGAATTTCCCCACTATTAACAAGATATTCTAAAAACTGCAGGTATCTGAGGGAATTTCTGCACCTTGGATACATTGTCTATGAACTAGTTTCATGACAAAAGGCTATAATTCATCCAATTGTGGCGAAACAACTGCCCAATAAAATAGAAGAAAAATGATTAAGGAAGAAGAGATGAACATTCAAGAGGATAGAGTTTTGATATTTCAATTGTTTTCCCTCTACTTTAAGTGGCAATCATTTGAAAGAATGTATCATCTCCAAACAATAAAGGGGAAAAAAAAAACAATGAGAGAACAAGAGAGGAAGAGCATTCAAGAGGATAGGGTTTTGAGATTGCAATTGTTTTCTTTTTCAAGTTTCGGGAATCTCTCAGGTAAAGTTTGTGTCATTTTATGACTAGACTAGGCACAATACCTCCGACATGTACCTTTTCATTCCAATGAGTAACTTTACTAAACAGCTGTTATAATTTAGGCACAGTGGAACAAAGGCACCCTTTGAATATATAGTGATTCTCTCATCCACTTGTGCACCCACATATGCACTTTAGTCTCAGTTTGGAAAGAGTACAATACAAATATGTACAGTTCAGTTCAAATACATACAAAATACAAGGTTTTGCACTCTACATATTTGTAATTGTACTCCTTTCAAACTGAGCCTTAGAGACAATTTAAAAAAATTCCAAAAGTTACGTCTTTCACATTTGAATACCTCTTAGAGCTCATACAAATAAATGAGAAACAGAGTTCATCATTTTGGAGTAGTTGATGGCTTTGTTGTATGATTAATTCAGATATCAAAGACATCCCAAGGGATTTACCATTCTGACTTCTGTTCAATTATGCCTCCATGTTAACAGAATATTAGCCAAAGACATCCATGATTTTAATACCTAGATGTTTTGTGTACGCTTTTAAATGATGCCAAACTGCAGAATATGCAGAAGGCATACATACGCTCCTCCAAGTATGGAGAAAGTAGTTAGCCTTATTATTCATGATTGCAGCCTATGCAACTTGCAGTTGCAGGCATTATTCAGAGCATGTCTTGCCTATACAGTTTCTGTAGGGTTACATACTTTTCATGTATTCTGTCCTTGAATATTCAAATCTTCATAGATTTGTGAACTGGCATTTATTTTTCCCATCTTTACACTATGTATTTTTCTGATATATGATACATCATGCTTAACTGAGAAAAAACTTGCTGCTTTACAATAACCATTAAAATTTGGTGGGCATCCATAATGTTGGTTTCGTAATTGTCCTTTTTATGTTTTGATGAATGTGCTTTTTAGTTGATGGTAATCTTTCTCTGTTTTTATGTGTGGCTTACTTTACATTCTGATATGTTCTCTTGTTCCTTTTTTCTTTTTTTTTTTGGTGACAGGCTGGTCTTCCTCCAGGTGTTTTAAATATAATTTCTGGATTTGGTCCAACTGCTGGTGCAGCTCTCGCCAGTCATATGGATGTGGACAAGGTATTTATAAGGAATTTTATTCTTGAGATGTTCTGAAACATAGGTGCAGAACAATATTTCTGTATTCATAGACATCATTCTTCTATAATTTTATATCATAATCCAGCACGAGCCACTAGTATAATGAATTAACTTGTATATAAACTGTAAGGATCTGGATCATGGTCTTGTCTACCATCAACTGGACATATGGACTCAGCATTGCTGAGAAGTATGTTTGGTGAATGATATCCTAAAAAGTGTACATGTATAAGACACATATTAGTGTATCTCATGTGGAAATTATATTATAATAGACTTGTTTAGGTAGGATGAGATTAAGGTTAGAGTTCGATAAACCAGACCTCAGGCTCTCCTTATCGGGCCCGAGTTCTGTTTTTATTTTATTTTATTTTTAAGTGGTTTGCCTCTGCTGCCACCATAACTCCCTCTATGTGGACATAAGTTGCTTCAGATTTGTCATTTTCTTCTGCTCATTGGGTCATAAGAGAATGAAACATAGAGTTAACAGGTATCTCTTTTTAAAAGTTCTGGCCCATAGTGCCCACTTCATTGGCTCATTAAGGCTTTTTTCAGGCTTGTTATAAGCCATTATTTAGCTCCATCAATGTCCTACATAGAGACTTATATATGTTCTTTTCACAGGTTGTATTAACCTATTTTAGCTCAAGAATTCCGTCTCTTATCCAGCTTAGGCTTACTTTCTTTTCTCAACTCTCCCACAGAGAGTAACTTTGATTGTGGCACTACCTTTTCATATATAAGTCTAGGCTTTCTTTCTTTCCTATGTTAATAGGTATCATTGCATTTCTTTCATTTAGATCAAGCTTAGCAGCAAAATCAAGAAACAAACTACACACTCTCAAATGGATCACATCTCTGCCAAACTTAAGAAATTATTTAATTGGTCAATGGTTATCAGTTTTGACCACGTCTTTAATCAGGGATCTAATATTTGATTTTATGCTTTCTATTAACTGGATTGTTCTGCAAACTAATGTTGATTTTTGCTCCCCGTGAGTTTGAGGGGGTAAGGGGTTACTGCAATAAAGCATTGGAGTACAGACCATATCAGTGTATCTCATCACAATTGAAGTAAGATTTAGACTTGTTTTATGAACACATTGTGTTGTAAGATAAAGGCTGAAACAAGGTTATGCTTCCTTTTAATCAGATAATCAATTAATGTTGAGGATGTTGTACTTCTATATGCCAAGATATGGAATTACAAACTCATGAAAAGAAACACCAGGTCTATTATGCATATAAGAATATTTACATTGGCCCTGTTCAGCAGCAGGGTAACTGTAAGAGATGACATTGGTGATGATTAATCTGGAAACCTACAGCTTGGAGCTTACCAAATGTATGTGATCAATTTTTATGATCAGAACATTTTGTTCTAGTTTTCTAGATGGCTAAATAAACTGACAGAACCTTGAACAACATTCACAGTGTATGTTTCCAGTTATAATGCTGTGATGTAAAACTTAGAAGATTATGCTATGATACTGGACATTAAGATGCTTCCATATGTAATACACTTCATAAAACAATAAATTTCAATCCACAACATATTTTAAAATAATCATTTAAATGGGAGTCAGGGATTGGGTCCACATGCATTGAATGAGAAATTGTGTGGATCACCTAAGACAACTCAAATTGCAACACATACCGATGCATGAGCAAACAAGTCAAAACTGAAAATTTATGAAAATATTATGTCTTTTGTTTTTTTGGATGACAGGGTTATTTAGATCATTTTACATGTTTTTTAATTGGTCTAGCCTTAGAATCTGATTTGACAAGTCATAGTTTAGTTTAAAGTTTCATAGTCCACGTGGTAAGTAGTTTAGGAGTTTGCTTATGATAGTAGAAAATCTTTAATTTCCATTTTCCTAGTTCCAGTAGGATTGATCACTCCCTATAGACGGGGTGTAGTGCAAAAAGATGGAGGAATGAATTTATGGAGTTTATTTGAAATTTTACAGCTTATGCTAAAGTGGTGACTGGTGAGTGATTCCCACACCTTGGAGTGATTCTATTCCCACACCTCATTCATTGTTATATATGTTATTTCTTTGGGTATGTTATAGCATAGAATTTTGAACCATTTCTGCTTTTTCCAGATGTTTCTGTATTTATCTAAATATTGTTGTATTTATGACACATTTTGTCTATTTCTGTAAATGTTAATCATTTGAGTGAGTTATGAGTATAGGGGCATATTGGAGGGGCCTCAATACATACATATCGGTCGATATGTGACGAAGTTTTAATCTTTGGGTTCTGTAGATAATAAATTAGTAGGATATAGAGATGAAGGATAGACTGACTACTATATCGTTAAGTTTGGATAAATGGGAATACTAAAAATCTGAGACATTTGTCTCTTCACTCCTGATTCTGTTTGCAACTCTTAACTCAAAATCCCTTTGCAGATTGCCTTCACAGGATCAACTGGTACTGGTAAGATTATACTTGAATTAGCTTCAAAAAGCAATCTTAAGGCAGTGACATTAGAGCTCGGAGGGAAATCCCCTTTCATTGTATGTGAGGATGCTGATATTGATAAGGCTGTTGAACTTGCTCACTCGGCTGTGTTCTTTAATCAGGTTCTTCAATTATTTCACTTTTTCTTTTGGCAAAACTGAGTTTGATATCCTGAGTAATTATTGATCATAAAGTCTTCTTGCAGGGACAATGTTGTTGTGCTGGGTCTCGTACATTTGTTCATGAACGCGTATATGATGAGTTCATAGAGAAATCCAAGGCACGTGCTATGAGACGTATCGTTGGTGATCCCTTCAAGAAGGGTGTAGAACAAGGTCCTCAGGTAGTTTGGTCACCCATCTTCCCCTCGTCTCTCCAACACATACACACATGCACTTATACTTTTTATAGATCGTAAGAAATTCATCCTTTTGGGCAATTATATGATACCTTCATCGTTATGGGTCATTTGAACCTTTAATGAAATTGCTCATCCCTGGAATGCCTTGACCTGCATAATGCATTTGTCATTTTGCATTTACGTAACACATCTGTTCCTCCTGCTAAGTACTACAAAGTATTTCAAGTCCTCACAGCTTTATGGCCCTGTGAATGTCTTAGATTGACAAAGCGCAGTTTGAGAAGATCCTAAGTTGCATAAGGTCTGGCATTGAAAGTGGTGCTACCCTTGAAACTGGGGGTGAAAGGTTCGGTACCAAAGGCTACTTTATTCAGCCCACCGTTTTCTCAGATGTCCAGGTATTGCCCATACCATTCCACTAACAGCTTCAACCATAATAGATGAATTGCTACTAAGACTAACACGATCTTTATTAATGCGCCAATTAGGATGACATGGCAATTGCCACTGAGGAGATCTTTGGCCCAGTGCAGTCCATCTTGAAATTCAAGTGAGCTACAAACTGTAAATACATTCTACCATTGGTCTGTGAGAGGATATAGTTCCTTTTACTCATGTTTTCATTGATAACAGAGACCTTGATGATGTGATCCAAAGGGCAAACAAATCTCGGTATGGACTGGCTGCAGGAGTCTTCACTAACAACATAGAGACCGCCAATACCTTGATGCGTTCATTGAGAGTTGGGACAGTATGGATTAATTGTTATTTTGTCTTTGATGCCGCAATTCCTTTTGGTGGGTACAAGATGAGTGGAAAGGGCAGAGAGAAGGGAGCCTATTGCTTAAACAACTACTTACAGGTGAAAGCCGTTGTGTCCCCGTTGAAGAATCCAGCCTGGTTATGATCTACCTCCTGATGTTGTCCCATGCCTCTGCTTATAATAATGCTAAGAGGCATGCATCTTTGTATTGAAAACTACATGCTTCTGTAGTTGAGTATATTAGCAATCTACCTATATGAATTCTGTTGCTAAGAGCCCTTGTGCAAATAAAATCATTTCTGCCAGAGCTTCAAGTTAAAAATCATATTCAGAATCCATGGTTGAACCCACATTGTGTAGTGTCTTGGGGAGTTTTCGCACAAATGACTTGACTTGAGCAAGGGCCCTCTGCAACATAATCCATCCCAGCGATGAAATAGGAACTCTCTTGCCTCTAATTATATGAAGCCTTCGTAATCTCTGTCTTTTCTAAGTAAACCATTCCTTTTATAATTTTGCAGATGTATAAACTATAATAAGATTGGGATTGGAGTAGGAATTTTTGAATAAAGTGGATATTGATCCAATCCAATTCGAATCCCAATATGACCTGAACTCAAATATCTGAAATCCAATCCAATGCCGAACTTTGAAATCCAAAATGTGAAGATCCAATTCGACATAGAATGCTAATATGATTCATAATGCAGGACTCATCATATGGAATCCACTCTCTATCGGTCTATCCTTCTCTTTTTGAAGTTTTAACTTCAGAATGTAGATGCTTCCTTAACCAGAGCAACTATCTGTTGCTTCTGCCTTCCATCTTCATTTCCTCCTAACCACCCTCGAATTCCTAGTCAAGCCTGATAACAGGGTTTGCACTAAAAAAAAGAAATGCTCCTTTGGTTTTAGCTTCTTCGCGTTTCATTCCTGAAGCGAAAAATATACCAACATTAAAAAACAGGAGTTAGACATTAGATTTCATTATGATAGTCCTCCCCCTTGCAAGGAAGGAGAATGAGCAAGTCAGAATGGAAAAGCGTAAGGATTGGGAGGATGAGGAGTGAGAGTTTTGACGCTTGGGAGGATGAGTACACTTGAGCAAGTCCAAGGACCATCTTTTGGCCAATTCAAGGTTCAAAGTATCGGAAACATAAGGTGTATCGGAAAGACAATTTTAAGAGACGTATCGAGATACGCTTTAGATACGGATGAAAAATCAAGATATACATAAATATGGTAAAAAATTCAAATAAATCTTAAAAAAATATATTACTAACTATATTTACATATTTTATATAATTGTAAATTAGTCATTTAAATGTAAAAATCATAATTTAATGGTTTATATAAAGTGACATATCGGGACATTATATTCCATTATGATAGTCCTCCCCCTTGCAAGGAAGGAGAATGAGCAAGTCAGAATGGAAAAGCGTAAGGATTGGGAGGATGAGGAGTGAGAATTTTGATGCTTGGGAGGATGAGTACACTTGAGCAAGTCCAAAGACCATCTTCTGGCCAATTCAAGGTTCAAAGTATCGGAAAAGTAAGGTGTATCGGAAAGACAATTTTAAGAGATGTATTGAGATATGCTTTGGATACTGATGAAAAATCAAGATATGCATAAATATGGTAAAAAATTCAAATAAATCTTAAAAAAATATATTACTAACTATATTTACATATTTTATATAATTGTAAATAAGTCATTTAAATGTAAAAACCATAATTTAATGGTTTATATAAAGTGTGACATATCGGGATACAATTACTAACCGTTGAAAAATGAAGGAATAACTAAAATGTAAAAAAAATAAAATGTGAACACAGAATTGCATATATCATTGCAAAAATGAGATAAGTCCTTAAAATAAGGAATGGCAAATGCAGCCTTAGATGTGAAGGAAAGACTATATTTGTTCTTTAAACAATCATTGGTAAACAACAAAAATTTAAGTAGGGACGAAAATGGTGCAAGAACTGTTTGATCTTTGTAAACCCAGCAGACAATTTTTTACCATGAGATGTGGAACCATCCAAAAATTTGGTTTTCTTATAAATGCACCATAGATGCAACTTACTAGTTGGAATCGTGCACCACACATAGAGTTAAAAGCTAGCACCTAAATCATGGTAGTAGAAAAGGATAACAACAACATTCCTTAGATGGTTAAGTTGATTTGAGATCAAATTTAATTAGAAAATGAAGCACCAAGGTCTTAAATTTGTTAATTCAGAAATATCTACTCTCATGGAAAATAGATATTTTCATAATTATGCATGAGAGGTTGTAGGAGAATTGTATTTTGTGTTGCTACTAGCAAATTCATCTACCTGATACAGGACTTTCTAAAGAATCATGGAGGACACAGTCAAGCCTTACATCTCTAATTTCTCAAACACCAATGTCTTAAATTTGTTTATTCAGAAATATCTACTCCTATGGCCATGGAAAATAGATATTTTCATAACAATGCATGGGAGGTTGTAGGAGAATCGTATTTTGTGTTGCTACTAGCAAATTCATCTACCTAATACAGGGCTTTCCAAAGAATCATGGGGGAAACAATCAAGCCTTCCATCTCTAATTTCTCCAACTGTTGCTGTAAAAAAAAACTGGGCAAAGTTTTACAGTGTTTGGTTGAAAAGGAAATGTGAGAAAGATAAGAAATGGAAAAAGAAAGAGAAAAAGAAATGAAAAGATTTTCTTTTAGGAGAGTGGGGCCAGTTTTGCTTTCTGTCACCTCTGCTTTTTACCCTCTTGGGAAGGAAATGAAAGGAGGTAAAAGAGAAAATTTATCTTTTTCAGACAATAGATTTTTTTTTTTTTTTTTATCAGTAATCAACCATTTTTACCCTTTGGACTGGAGAGGTCAAAGGCTATTATCTCTTGTCCATTCTTTTGTTACAATTGTACCTACAAAAATTTGATCTTGTTATGCTAAGGTATCAGCCATACTGTAAGCAGCCCTTTGCACCCATTGGAATCATACTTCCATATCTTTAGTCAACCATCTGAATTTCTTAATTTCATTTCAGTATCACCACAGAGCTGCCTCTCCCCATGCAACAATCCAATTCATCATTCTTGAGTTTCCTTGAATAATTAATTTATTCAAATTCTTTATCCTTGTCCTTTGCGCACCATCCATGACAGAAAAAATCTGGTTTGGTTCGATTGTATAATGTATATGCATGATAAAATCTGGTTTGGCTCGATTATATAATGTATATTGCATGAAATACAATACTTGCTATTTACATATGGATCTTTTGACCCAGTTACATGTGTAGTAGGGGTTGATTATTTCATCGAGCACTTTAGTTCAAAGACACATTATCTCAACCGGGAATTCTCGGTGTGAAACAAGGACAGTTATGAAGTAGAATTCAGATTTATCACTGTATGATTAAGTGCTTTTTTTTTTTATGAGATATTTTGCTGAAGCACATGATGATTTCTTTTAAGTCTTTATATGTGTTTCAAGATGACTTAAGTACTTATAATTGCAAGTTTCTTATTAAGAAACAATTTTATCTTTTTTAATGTATCAAATAGCAATGTTATAATTCCAGTCCAGCCCCTGTGAAGCAGGGACTCTCTGCTAGTCTTACCTTATTTGCTAATGTCCACTTTGTTGCAAACTGTATGATAAGATGGCCCTCCTAACTCCTAAGGTTGTATTTGGTTGCAGTGCAAATTTATTTGCACTAGTATAAATGCATGAAAATGCAAATGTAAAAAATGCAATTCTTGTTTAATTTTGTTTTGGATTTTACTTTATTTTGCTTCATGTTTTAATTACTTCATTTGTATTGCAATCAAACAAAATAAGTTAAAATTTGAAACAAAAATAGGTCAAAATTTATACCCAAATAATTTGCACTATCATGGTTTTGCATCAGTGCAAATTTAGGTTGTGTTTAGTTTCGTAGGCGTTTATTGAAAAAACGTTGCCACATCAATGCCACATACGCATTGGCGTTTATTGCATATGAAGCAAAATGAAACAACTATTTGCTTTTGTGCATGGGGCATTTGGGGAAATGTCGAATTCTTGTTTCCCCCAACACCCTAGCATTTCTTAAAACAAAATGCTGATGTGGCATACTTTAATGGGTATTAATCTGAGGTGGAGAGTGAAAAACATTTACAATGAAGCCCAATCAAACAACAAAAATAAGAAACGTTTAAAGTGAAAAAATACAAATAAACGGCCTATCTAGAAACGCCTACAGAACCAAACACATAATTATTAATTGCAACCAAACACATATAAAATAATACAAAATACAAGGTTTGCACCCCATATATTTGTATTTATACTCTTTTCGACTTGAGCATTAAGAACTTTTGCTTAACTTTCTGTTTATCTTGTTTTCTGTCAAATCAAACACAGCCTTATGTTAGTAATCAAACTAGTTTGTTAACCCAAATTTAAAGTTGCAATATAGGCGGGTTCAGATTGGGCTTTTGTCAAAATTCGAATGGACTAACATGAAGACCATAGCCCAAACCAGTGTAAAATGCAAACTTGGGCCAACCCCAGTTGCACCCCTACCCAAATGCCCTTAAATATATCCACCAAATAAGTCACCTTTGGCCCAACACTGTCAAAGCATGTTTCTAAGAAAATAAAGACAGTTTATGGTTTGGCTTGCTAATTGAGGGCCTTGAGGCACATCAACAGCACCATCAAAATCACTTTTTTTTTTTTTTTGTTTTTTTGTTTTTTTTGGTAATCAACATCACCATAAAAATCTATTACCAAAACGCTTTAACCCCAAAAAGTATGGATGCTTTGAATTGTCACATGGAATCCAATGTGAAGAGAACCGGCTTTGGTTCAGTCAGTCTGAAGGACGGTAAGAAGTTAAAAGTAAAGCTGGAATTTTTTGATAAACCAGTTATGTTTGACATCTGATGATTTTTACAATTTTTTTTGGTTGAAGATTCTTTACAATTCATACCACAAATCGATCTGTCACCCAATGAGATGGGGACTAGTAGATTTTATTACGAAGTTTGACTAGCTCATGTTACAAGCCACCCTTAAAACGTAACATATAAGAGATCGATGGTTTTGTTCAGGGATGATTGCTAGGGCTACGAATCAATTGAATTCATTAGAGCTACCAATTAGGGGTGCAAATGGATTGGATCATGATTTGATCTAAGATCTAATTTTATTTGATTGAATTTGAATTACCTCTGTTCAGATTTTTAGATTGGATAATAGGATCCGATTAGAAATCAGATCGGATTTAGATCACCCCCTATCTGAAGACTTGATCCGATATATGTTATATATATAATACATATATATATATATGTTATTTATTTATTTATAAATATATTATTTATATTATATTTTTATAAATTTGTTATATTATTTATTTTTTTTATAAAAAACATGTATATATATGATGAAAATAATTAAAAAATACTTGTATTTTTTGTTTTTTCTTTATTTAAATTGGTATATTTTAATTTTCTTTTGATAATTTATTAATTTTTAAACAAAACAAATAGGATCAGATCAGATCCGATTCAAAGATTCGATTTATTGATATGATCCGAAATCAGATCAAGGCCTATTAGATCCGATCGGATCTGCCATGAATAATGTCTAATTGGATTCCGATGTATCTTAATTTGAATACGATCTGATCCATTTGTATCCCTACTACCAATTGGCCACCCACACATTGGATTATTTGAGACAAACGTAATCACTGGAGTGTGGGGAAATATAAGGATTTACACTCAGCTACAGGCTACACATTGGATTATTTGAGACAAACGTAAAAAAGTTCACTTGAAAAACTTTTTGATATATGTCAGTACAAATACATACAAAATAATATAAAATATAAGGATTTACACTCAGCTACAGGCTACAGAAGCGTGGATCACTGGAGTGTGGGGAAAGTTTCAACTCGAGAGCAGTGAACAGAAACGATACAACTAGTCGAGCACATGGAAAGAAAAACCAAACAACACGAAAGAATCTCTTATGTTTGACTAACGAAACTGGTACGACCACCTCTATATATCTATAGGTTTGCAATTAATCCCTCCACATCTTCTGATCTGTTCAAGCTCAGGTAGAAGCAGAAATGGACGTTCATAGTAGAGATGTCTATTCACTTTTCTCTCTACTTTTGTCTCTTCTCCTCGTTTCATCTTCTCTCCCTTCTCCTACCGTCTCTGCTTCGGTCGCCTGCCACCCAGATGATAAAAAGGCCCTCCTAAGCTTCAAGAATTCTCTGAAAATTTCAGAAACATTCCCCTACACCCCCTGGAATCCCGACACTGATTGCTGTGGCTGGGCCTACGTCACCTGCGATCCCAACACCAACCGCGTCGCCAAGCTGCAAATTTACATGGCCACCATCTTCGGCCAAATACCGGCTGGCATCGGCGACCTCGTCTACCTTGAAACCCTAGTCATGTCCATCTTGAATAACGTCGACCTGCCTGGATCCATCCCCGACTCCTTCACCAAACTTCAGAACCTCAAAACGCTAGATATCAGTTGGACCCCTCTCTCCTGCCGCATCCCAGAATTCTTGGGCCACCTTAAAAGCCTCGAGTACCTTGATCTCTCCCATAACCACCTCTACGGACCCATTCCATCTTCCCTCGCAAATCTCAAAAATTTGAAACATCTTCGACTCAGTGAGAACAAACTCTCTGGCAGGATTCCGAACTCGTTTCGCGCGCGCCATTCAAACGTGCAACTGATCGACCTGACCTACAACAAGATTGCCGGCGACGCGTCGATGTTTCTAAGGGACAGTGGAAAGGCAAGATGGATCCTTTTGTCGGGGAATCGGCTCAAGTTCGATATGTCAAAGGTGAGGTTTCCAAAGAACTTGACGGCTCTGTATTTGGCGCATAACAGGATTCGAGGAAGGATTCCAGAGAAGATCACCAAGCTGGCTCTACCAGATGCGTTGGATGTGAGCTACAACCGGTTGTGCGGGAGGATTCCTGTGGGTGGGAAGCTTCAGAAGTTCATTCCCAGCTGGTTTATTCATAATCGGTGTTTGTGTGGTGCGCCGCTCCCAGACAAGTGCAAGTCGTAAACCGGCGAGCTTGAGCAGGGTTTATCCGGGAGAGAAATTAATCTAACTACTTTTTAAAATGCCTTTAAGCGATGTTTGGGAGTATTGATGTTAAAAATAAGTGCTTAAAAATAGGTGGTTATTCAATAAGCACTTATTTGCATTTGGCATCGAAATTTTTTCAAACGTTTAAAAAATAAGTATTTATTTCATATTTGGTATTCGGTAGTCTTTTTCTACAATAAGTACTTAAATAAGCATTTGTGATTATTTTATCCTTTATTTTCTTTTAAATTTTATGAAAACATTTTTATAAAAGTACTTTTATGAAAGTACTTATATGGAAGCATTTTTACAAAAATACTTTAATAAAAGTACTTTATACAAAGGTGCTTTTATGAAAACACTTATGAAAGCACTTTTACAAAAAATACTTTTATGAACGTATTTTTAAGTACTTTTATGAAATCACTTTAATAAAAGAACTTTTACAAAAGTACTTAAATAAAAGCACTTTTATGAAAGTATTTTTATAAAAGAACTTTTATGAAAGTACTTTTACAAAAACACTTTTATGAGATTAATTTATAAAATTCAACTAGGGATAATTTTGGAAGAAAAAGGTTAAATAAGTGCTTATTGTATAAGCACTTAAAAGAAACTAGAAATTTGGGATTAAAAAATAAGTCATTATTTTTAAAATAAGAATTTATTTCAGGCTTATTTTCCAAACACCAATAAGTGCTTAATCATATGGTCCCGGCTCAAATAAGCATTTATTTTTAAGAACTTCAAACATGGCCTTAGTTATAGCTAGACCTGTTCATGGGTCGGGTAGCCCAATGGGCCGGCTTGGCTTGACCCGACCCTTGGACGGTTTTGCACATAGTTATTAGCCCACAGGCTTGACCTCGGGCCTAAAAGCCCGAGCCCGACTGTTTTACGGGCCGGGCTCGGGATTTGTCACAAAAGCCCGGCCCGACCCAACTTTTATATATATATATATATATAGCTTTTAAACCCTAAATTTCTAACTGAACCCTTCTCATATTTCATTCTTTCTCACTCTCAACTCTAACCGGCGCCACCAATGACCGAAGGTGAAGATGGGTTGTAGTTCCAATTAATAAAGGAACTCAAAACGGGAAGATCATTGTAAGAACGGAAGACTCTCAGAAAGTGTAACTTGTCCATGATGGCAAAGCAGAGGATGAAAGGAACAGAGAAAACAGAAGTAAGAGAAACAACATCGGTCCTAGTGTAATATTCATCCTTCTGAACCTGTATAATAGCTAGAGCTGGAAGAATTCCAAATGTAGGAACTGGGTAAGAGAAAAAGCTAGAAGAAAAAGTATGAAACTGCCCAGAAAATCTAAGCAAGAAATAGAACAAGAGAGTTTCTGCAGGTCTCACAGAAATGGGTTTCTCGAAAGAGAGTAAGATTGTTTGTCATTTGAGTGTTGACGAGTGGAGTGACCAGGTCCTCTCTTTTCTCTCTCTCTCTCTCTCTCTCTCGTTATCTTCCCCCTCTCTCTCTCTCATTATCTTCCTCTCTCATAGAAGTGGAACAGATTTCTCTTTGTTCCTCTCTTTCTCTCAGTCTCTCTATCTATTCTGTAAGTTGATTCTTCTCTCCCTGTCTCTCTCGGGCTTCGGGCTTTTTATGAGGGCCAGGCTCGGGTCCAAGTTGTAGGCCTGTTGGTCGGGCTGGGTTCGGATTCGAACCTACAAAAATTATATTAATGCAGAGTGGAAGCCTGACCCGAGCCCATCCCGACCCGACCCATGAACAGGTCTAGTTATAGCTGACGTTAGAGACAATTCATTAAGGATTTGTTGATTATCATTATGTCTGTGTATGAACATTGGTGTGTTTTCGGTTCAAGCAGACTTGATCTCACCAAGTCATAGTTTTAGTTTGTCTTATTTTCCATGCTGTTGCAACTTGCAAGTGCCAAAAGTATTTGCTGATTGTACCCAATAAAAGTTCACTTCAATCGAGTAAAGCTGTAAACGCCAAGTACCTTAGGGTAGCAATAGTGTGATATTAGGGGTGCAACTCAGGCAAGTTGGTTCGGGTTGAAGATCAACCCAGGCCAACCCTAAAGGTATAAATCTCGGGCCCAAGCCCTGGCCTAACCTTAGGTTAAGTTTAAGTTTATCAGTCTAGACTCAATTCAAGCTTAATCCAACATAATTCGGATTGGGCTCGGGCCAGGTTAGTTGGGTTTGCATGGGTTGGTTAAGTTTGGAAGAATTTATGTATATATTTTTTATATAGCCAATTTTATTGGGCTTTATGGCCCAATTTAAAGCATAATTGATTAAAAGCATGTGCAAATTTCATTTATAAATGTACATATACATAGCTTATAGTATACATGTATATATAATTAGAAAATAGATGTTTTTTATATAAATGTAATGTATATATACAAAGAAAGAGGAAACAATGAAAATCGCAATATATCAAAGAAAAAATACAGACAAAAATGAAAGAGAGAAGTACTGAAATATAGAAAAATACAAAAGAATACAAAATTTCAAATGGGCATTTTCATAAATTTATCTTTCTGTCAAGCCTTTTAATAGGATAGGGTGAAAATGCTGAAATCTGAAAGTTCAGGGTAGATCTTGGTCACAAATTAAAGTTTATATATATAAATATAATTTTTAAAGTTTAATGAGAATAATTTTTAAACATTCTCATCTTTTTCATTAATAAAAAGGAGAATGATAGTCGTGATTCGCCCAAATACCCTGATTTTTATTTCCAAAATTACCCCTATTTCTATTATCTTTCTCTTTTTAACTCAGTTTATATATATATATATATATTCAAAACAAGAGAGCAAAGCAAGAGACAATTTAGTAGCAGTAAAGGTTGCAGTTAAAAAAGAGACGAACAGAAATTACCATTCATCCCAGAAGATTTCAGCAGGTGTTTGTGCATGCATCGTCTTTTGGTTTAAGTAGTACTAAACATTGTGTTTTGGACCTTTTGGTTTAATTCTATGTTTTTTAATCTCCTTCTTGTTTTTTACTTAATTTTAACCAATTAGGGCTTTGGTTTAACTGGTTTAGAACTATTCAAATCAGCTTAATCAGCTTTAGATAGATTTGTATATTATGTTGTGTTTCTGGTCTTGTGTTGAATTAGGTTTAGATTCCTCGAGGCAAATCCATTTCTAGCTCCAGTAGCGGCAAAGCCACTGGCAACGACTGATTCTCTCTCTTTTTCTGATTTTATTTTGAATTAGATTTAGATTTTTCAATGCTAATCCACAGCTGCTAGCTCCAGTAGCAACAAAGACACTGGCAACGACAAATTCTCTTATTTTTCAGGGCTCTTCACTGTTCCCTTCCTGACTTCACTAGGAAGCTACAGGCAAATCCAATAACTACCGAGTTTTACTTTATATGTTAATTGGCTAACTCGAGTCTGAATTTGTTGTGGATAATCCAAAATATCGGGTTAATGGTGATTGATACCAGTTTAGAGAGCATGTCAACTCTCAATTATTGGTCCAGGAAACTGATATTTGGTGGGTTAATTCATTTTCAATTCATGCTTTGCTTCAACATTTTCATGTCTCATTGTTTATATACTTCTTCATAATATGATAATCTGCAGCTGAAGGGTTGATATCAATGCTAAACCATTAAAGCACTTATTTTATACGTAAGCTTTGCTGACATATTGTTTTTAATGATTAAATTATCAGTATCAGATATTGTATAGAACAACTTGGATATGGATATAGATACGATTTGAAAATACATGGATATAGACAGAAAATATGAAAATACATACAAATTTCATAAAATACATTAATAACACTAAACATATGCATCTATTATATTTTATTGATGATGTATCAATAATTGTTCAAGACACAATATGCACCTATTATATTTTAATCATTATATAAATTATTTTCTTTTTTATTATTTATACTTTTTTACATTAACATAAAAGTCAACAAAAAAAATTCAATGATCAAAGTATAAATTAAAAAACAATTAATAATTTATAAAATTATGTAAAAATTTTAAGATACATATTGTGCACAATACAAATTTATTAATTTTAAGTACTAAAATTATTATTCTATTGTTAATATTTTATTTGTATAAAATTATTAAGATTAATATCATTTTTTATATAAATATGAATTTGATAGTTTGTTTAATTCATTAATTTATAAAATACTAATTTTGAATATATATATATATTTTTAATTTTTACTTGAAACTGTTAAATGTAAATATGTATTAAGCCCCATTTGGTTCGTGGGAATAGGGGTCTAAAATCGGATTCAATTCCAACTGTTTGATTGGGCAGAATTGGAATCCCATTCCCCTCCCTTGGGAACAAAATCCTATTTTACCAATTCCAATTTTCACTCCCATTCCTGTTTGTACCAAACAAACTATGTGAATAGACTATTCTGATTCTGATTATAGAGAATTCCGATCCCGACTGCAAACCAAACGGACCAGATGGTTTGGTGGTTTAAGGCTGAATTTAGGATATAAGTGTTGGACGTTAGACAGCCTATGTTTGAATAATGCTATATATTTATTTTTTAATAGAAAGGCAGTGTATTTATCCGTATTATTTATTTATTTATTTTTTTTGAAAACAAAGCTGAATGCTAAATGCATTCATCAATTCTCAGTTAAGTTGTTTTTTACAAAATTGTAGGAAGTAAAAAATCCAGGATAGAAGACCACGTATAAGCAGAATTGAAGTCAATCTATATAATACTACAACGTGAGCTGTTTGATTTGATTGGCACTGTATAAAATTAATGTTTTAAAAAACGATCGGAAGCTGAAATCGTTTCACTAGTTTTTAAGTCAATGGTTCAATCATTCAGTCTGAATGGATGATCCGTTCTAATAAAATACATTCAAAAATAAAAATTTAAAAATGGCCAAAATCTATTGTCAAATTGACTGATTGTTTTTTAACCGATTTAATAGTTTTTGATTAAGGACTAGGTTCAGGGTAAAGTGGAACCAATTGCCTAAATGAATAAGAATGCAGTGAAGTAAACTTCCGCACTTGGCAACTAATATATGAAGCCGG